GGCAAGCCTGAGCCAGCCCTAACTATAAGCTTTATCAAAGAGGAAAGTCTTAAGTCTAGTCTTAAATGTGGAGACGGTGTCTGCCTCCCGGACCGTAACAGGAAGATGATTCCACAGGAGAGGAGCCTGATAGCTGAAGGCTCTGGCTCCTGATCTACTTTTGCAGTGTTATAGTAGAAAGTACAGGAGTATTTAAGGAAGTATTACAGCAGTGTTATAGGATAAAGTACAGGAGTATTTAAGGAAGTATTACAGCAGTATTATAGGGTAAAGTACAGGAGTATTTAAAGAAGTATTACAGCAGTGTTATAGGATAAGGTACAGGAGTATTTAAGGAAGTATTACAGCAGTGTTATAGGATAAGGTACAGGAGTATTTAAGGAAGTATTACAGCAGTGTTATAGGAGAAAGTACAGGAGTATTTAATGAAGTATGTAAGGTAGTATTGCAGCAGTATTATAGGATAAAGTACAGGAGTATTTAAAGAAGTATTACAGCAGTGTTATAGGATAAAGTACAGGAGTATTTAAAGAAGTATTACAGCAGTGTTACAGGAGAAAGTACAGGAGTATTTAAAGAAGTATTACAGCAGTGTTACAGGAGAAAGTACAGGAGTATTTAAGGATGGATGGAGGTATTAGGGATGGGCAGCACAAGCAAAAACACTATTTGAAAATCGTGGCAACTATTTGACAATTTTTTGAATAATCGCCCCCCCCCAGAGGCACGCACACAGAGATCCATTCATCATTAAATGCCCAAACATACTCGAGCGGAACGTACGCGGAACGGACTCCACGGAGGTCCGCACGGACTCAAAGCGGACGTCCGCAAGCCCTGTGCGCGCAAAGCTCCGCACACCAGTGACTGCTCGGCATGTATTTTTCACATCGCGGGGATTTTTCACGGACATTTTTACAGGAAACTACAACGCGGAAGTGCGCTCGACTGAAAGCCCGAATGACTGCGGACATTCCTCGCGGAGTAGTAGTCTCTGCATGTTTCTCCTGTTTGTAGAAGAGCATCAAACTAGCTGGTAGCCCATCTCACACCGCTGTAGCAATCCTATACTGCCCTCATGCGGTTAGGAGCTGAATTGCATGTCAAATAAAGGGGGAAATAAGACGGCGAATTGTAATAGTCGCATTAAAAAATCGATTTTTCAAAAATAAAACGACGATTCGAAATTCGAAAATCGTGACCCATCCCTAGGAGGTATCATCATCTTTATCATCATTCCATGTGTGTGTCAGTACTCTGTGACATCACAGTGGGTGTAGTTACAGGTGTATGACAGGGCTGAAGCTTAATGTGTGTGTTTCAGGTGTTCTGGACAGCGGCGGAGCAGATTTTGAGGATGGGGAGGAGGTGTACGACGCCATTGGAGGAGTCCTGCAGGAAGTGTCTGCTGACAGTAAAAATGAGGATGACGTCAGAGACATCTGCCTCCAGATGTTCAACACTCTCAAACTGTAAGAGACCGCACAAACTCACGTCTTGTGTTTAGGCTCATTTATAGTTTTGAGTCGGCTCTCTGCAGAGTCGACTCCATGACCTACGCTGTTGTGAGTATTTGCACCTGTGCGACGGTGTGTCCAAGTCGCTCTGCAGGTACACCTGCGAAACACAAGCTGACGGTGGGGTTTCTGTGCCACTGTGTCAAGTCTCATTGATCCAAAAACACTTGTTAAACACAGCTTATTAGCAAAACTCAGCTTCATTATAACTCACAAGGTTCATATGTTTTTGCAGCATAGTCTTTTTTTCTTATTTCCCAAGATAAGCCGTAGTTTTTGGGAATAATTTCGGTTTCTGTTGGGTGTAGTATGTTTCTGACAGAAATAATTTGTGTCTTTGCTGGAAATAATAGTCTGCATGTTTTCAATGGGAATAAAAATGTACCTATTTTTGTTGGGAATAAGTGTACATGTTTTTGTTGGCAAAACTAGTCTACGTGTTTTCGTTGGGAAAAATTGCCTACATATTTTCATTGGGAATGAAGGTATACGTATTTTCTTTGGCAAAAATAGTCTACATGTTTTCGTTGGGAATAAAAGTGCATATTTTTGTTGGGAATAAAAGTGTGCGTATTTTCGTTGGGAATAAAAGTGTACGTATTTTCGTTGGGAATAAAAGTTTACATATTTTAGTTGGGAATAAAAGTGTGCGTATTTTCGTTGGGAAAAATAGTCTACATATTTTTGTTGGGAATAAAAGTGTGCGTATTTTCATTGGGAAAAATAGTCTACATGTTTTCGTTGGGAATAAAAGTGTACGTATTTTCATTGGGAATAAAAGTTTGCGTATTTTCGTTGGGAATAAGTGTATGTGTTTTTGTCAGGAAAAATAGTCGTTGCTTTCTTTGGTAAAAAATAGTCTATGTGTTTTCATTGGGAATAATAGCGTACCTGTAGCGTACATGTAGCACACACGTAGCGTACCTGTAGCGTACCCGTAGCACACACGGAGCCTACCTGTAGCATACCGCTAGCGTACCCCTAGCGTACCTGTTTTCATCAGAAATAACACATTTGCATCCACAATAATACCTTTTTCTTTTTTAATGATGTGTGATATATTTGGGAATAACTAGTGTTTGTGTCAGTAACAAAATATGTTTCCATCACACACATGATATGAGGAGTCACATGTTTGAATGAGGAGTTACATGTTTGTATGAGGAGTCACGTGTGTATGAGGAGTCACGTGTTTGAATGAGGAGTTACATGTGTGTATGAGGAGTCACATGTTTGAATGAGGAGTCACATGTGTGTATGAGGAGTCACATGTTTGAATGAGGAGTCACATGTGTGTATGAGGAGTCACATGTTTGAATGAGAAGTCACATGTGTGTATGAGGAGTCACATGTTTGAATGAGGAGTCACATGTGTGTATGAGGAGTCACATGTTTGAATGAGGAGTCACATGTGTGTATGAGGAGTCACATGTTTGAATGAGGAGTTACACGTTTGTATGAGCAGTAACTTGAGTAACATGAGGAGTAATATGAGCAGTTACATGAGCATTAACATGAGGAGTAACATGGGCAGTTACATGGGCAGTAACATGGGCAGTAACATGAGCATTAACATGAGCAGATACATGGGCAGTTACATGAGGAGTAACATGAGGAGTAACATGGGCAGTAACATGAGGAGTAACATGAGCAGTAACATGAGGAGTAACATGGGCAGTTACATGAGGAGTAACATGAGCAGTAACATGAGGAGTAACATGAGGAGTAACATATGTCCTGTGCTCCTCAGGAGCCATCATGGCCCTCAGAAGCAGCTGCTGTTGGACGCTCCTGTTCAGATCTCTCAGATCTCTGCAGACGGTAAGAAACTCCTCAATGCGACTTTATTCATACACATCAGTATGTCTCAGAGGCTTTACAGCAGAAGACACACCTCTGTCCCTCTGTCCCCCTGTCCTCTGTCCCTCTGTCCCCCTGTCCTCTGTCCCTCTGTCCCCCTGTCCTCTGTCCCTCAGAGCTGCTCAGGAAAATAAACAATCTCAGCCTTGACAATAATGAACTATATTTTTATTTAAACACACATTAAAGTATTTTAACAGGGTGTGATGTGAACATGTGTCACCTTCCCTCAGTTTGTGCCACAGAGGACATTCAGGGTATCTGGATGATGAAACGTGGTCAGAACACAGTGAGTCTCTTATAATGACTTTGCACTAAAATAATACTCTAATTTTTTACACATTTAAATATTTTAATATTTTTTTGGATTCACGGTTAATGACAGCTGATCTTTGATAATAACTTCCTGTCTCTCTCCAGACAGTGGACGCTAAGAAACTGGAGAAGGCCGAGGCGAAGCTGAAAGCTAAACATGACCGCAGAAACGAGAAGGACTCTCAGAAGCCCTCCACTCCACTGTCAGTACACACCTGTCCTCACCTGTCCTCTCTGTCCTCACCTGTCCTCACTTGAACATCTTTTATCTCACCGAGCTTCACCTGTCCTCACTTGTCCTCACCTGTGCTCACCTTTGCTCACCTTTGCTCACCTAGCTTCACTTGTCCACCTGTGTTGTCTGTCACAGAGTCCTAGAGGAGGCGTCGGCCAGTCAGGCCAGCAACAAGAAGGACAACCGAGTGGACCAATCAGGAAAGAACCGCAGCTATGACATTCGCATCGAGAACTTTGATGTTTCTTTTGGAGAAAGGTGGGTTAGTACTACTGATCAATGATCAGTTGACGTCGGTACACGATGAATGTATTTTAGTTTTGAGAAATGTACTTTAGATTTTTAAGGATATATTTCAGTTTCTTGATGAATATATTTCTGTCTCCAGATGTTTGCTGCAGGGGGCGGAGCTGTCTCTGGCAACAGGCCGGCGGTACGGTCTGATTGGTCGGAATGGTTTGGGAAAGACGACACTGTTGAAGATGTTGGCCAGTCGAAACCTCCGCATCCCGGCTCACATCTCCATCCTCCACGTGGAGCAGGAAGTTGAGGGAGATGACACAGCTGCGCTGCAGAGTGTCCTGCAGAGTGACACGCTGAGGGAAGAGCTTCTGACTGAGGAGAGGACGCTCAACGCTCGTATCGCCAGCGGGACGTAAGATGTTCATCAGGGTCGTTTACTGTTCACGTTTGAACTTTAGTTGACACGTTTAAGGTATCAGGTACTGTTACCTTAAACCTGTCGACCTCGCATTAACCCAAACCTTTTTTCTTTTATTGTTTTTTTGTTTTGTTTTTTGTTCCAGTGCTGACGGGATGGAGAGCGTCAGACTGTCAGAGATCTACGGCAAGCTGGAGGAGATTGAGGCCGACAAAGCCCCAGCACGGTAACTATGGAAACCACATAGCATCGCTGATAACATCTGTATCTCTACAGTAAAAACTACAACTGCATGACACATTTGGCAGTGTCGCACCGTCTGCGCTGATTCAGTGCATGGTGCGTTGGTAAATTCAGTCTGACGCTCTACACTAAAATGAGAGCCCTGTTGGTGGAAGAAACACAGCGTTATATTTCTACATGAATGAACCAACGGTTAAGTTAATCACACATTCACTCCGCTCGGCGCTCTGCTGCTCCAGAGTGCTCTGCCACTCTGAGAGTTTTGTTGTCAGTTTGTCGTTGTGCTAGTAAAGTACCTTATTGCTGTGACTGCTGGGTACAGTCAGTGGGGAGCTCCACCCGGCTCACAGATGCCACCTGGTGGTTGTTGGTGCACACAGCGACTCCAGCCTGTTAGAATCAAATTGTTTTGCCAAAGGTTTGAACTGACTGACATCTTTCTCATCCAATCAGAGCCTCCGTCATCCTGGCTGGTCTCGGATTCTCTCCCAAAATGCAACAGCAGGCAACCAAGTGAGTCCTCCACACACACGCACACGCACATTTCAGAGGATACTTCAGTGACTTCCAGATTTACTACTGACAAACACCAACCGTTCAGTGATTCATGTTGAGACACCCTGCATTTTGTAGAGTCCCCACACTGTGGAGAGTCCCCACACTGTGGAGAGTCCCCACAGTGTATACACACACTAACGTCCCCACAACATGCTCAACACAGTCCTCCCACTGTTACACTGTGTGTTGGTTTCTGATAACATGAGACTGTGTGTGCAGGGAGTTCTCAGGAGGATGGAGGATGAGGTTGGCGTTGGCCAGAGCTCTGTTTGCTCGGTGAGTTTCTGTTTACATTCAAACAACTTCTTCGTCTCCTTCTCCTTCTTCTTCTTCTTCCTCAGTCAGTCTTGTTGGTTTGTGTCTGTGATTGACAGCTTGTCATCTAACTGTGTATTTATTTGGTTTGTTTTCATCAGGCCGGATCTGCTGCTGCTGGACGGTGAGTTACATCCTTCTCTTAACAAAGTAGGAAGTACAGTTAGTGGAAGAACAGATTTACCTTGTAGCAGTAGTAGCAGTAGCAATATTGGTGGTAGTAGTAGTAGTAATGGTAGTAGTAGTAGCAGTAGCATTAGTAGTGACATAAGCATTAGTTCAAATAAACACAAGGAGTTTGTGCTCTAGAGAAAGGATCAACACTCAGTGAATAACCTCCTAAGCCCTGTGATAAGCTATTATGGCAAGGCTTAACTATACAGACCCATGAGCAGTGATAACTAACATGTCTTTGGGGGTCATCAGGTGGGAACCTCCTTTCACCGGTGTTTCGTCTAGTTGGTCCCACAACACCTCCAGGAGGCTAGACAGTGATCTCTGGTGTCCCAGAGACACTCCCCTAATGCCAGGTCTCACTGCTCCCCACACCAACCCAATAACCTCCTTTACCTTACTTACACATGGCTTTCTCAGCCCAAACAGCACTGCCACCTTCAACAAACCCAGGCTCCGTACATGCGAGCTCTAGGTAGAAGCAGGGCTGATACTACCTTTCCTAGCACATTCACCATACTCTATTTCACACGCTACATAGCATAACTACAATATAAGCTAAAGTTAAAGGAGATAAATAAACTCACAGGATCAGCAAACACACTCACCTTGCAGCATGGCCTCAAACAAAAGGGATTCAAATAGGCCACTCCCACACTTAAATAACCTTCCTCTTCCTGGATTTCCTCCTGAGAGGAAGTGGATCTCTCCACCTGATCTCAAGGAGTTATGTACCCTGCTTAGTAGTTCCCCCTGCTGCCCCCAGCTGACATTATTCCTCCTCATCCAAATCCACTGACTAGCTCTGTCCTAGTCCTAGTCTTCCATCCTCGCTGCAGCAGTCGTAATAGCATTAGTAGCAGCAGTAGGACCAGTAGCAGTAGCAGTAGTAGTAGGAGCAGTAGTAGTAGCAGGAGCAGTAGTAGCAGCAGTAGCAGTAGTAGTAGGAGCAGTAGTAGTAGTAGGAGCAGTAGCAGTAGTAGTAGGAGCAGTAGTAGTAGTAGGAGCAGTAGTAGTAGGAGCAGTAGTAGGAACAGTAGTAGGAACAGTAGTAGGAGCAGTAGTAGTAGTAGGAGCAGTAGTAGGAGCAGTAGTAGCAGTAGGAGCAGTAGTAGTAGGAGCAGTAGTAGGAGCAATAGTAGCAGTAGGAGGAGTAGTAGTAGGAGCAGTAGTAGGAACAGTAGTAGGAGCAGTAGTAGGAGCAGTAGTAGTAGGAGCAGTAGTAGGAGCAATAGTAGCAGTAGGAGCAGTAGTAGTAGAAGCAGTAGTAGGAGCAGTAGTAGTAGGAGCAGTAGTAGGAGCAGTAGTAGGAGCAGTAGTAGTAGTAGGAGCAGTAGTAGGAGCAGTAGTAGTAGGAGCAGTAGTAGGAGCAGTAGTAGCAGTAGGAGCAGTAGTAGTAGGAGCAGTAGTAGGAGCAGTAGTAGGAGCAGTAGTAGTAGTAGGAGCAGTAGTAGGAGCAGTAGTAGTAGGAGCAGTAGTAGGAGCAATAGTAGCAGTAGGAGCAGTAGTAGTAGGAGCAGTAGTAGGAGCAGTAGTAGGAGCAGTAGTAGTAGTAGGAGCAGTAGTAGGGGCAGTAGTAGGAGCAGTAGTAGGAGCAGTAGTAGGAACAGTAGTAGGAGCAGTAGTAGGAGCAATAGTAGCAGTAGGAGCAGTAGCAGTAGGAGCAGTAGTAGTAGGAGCAGTAATAGGAGCAGCAGTAGTAGTAGGAGCAGTAGTAGGAGCAGTAGTAGTAGGAGCAGGAGCAGTAACAGGAGCAGTAGTAGTAGTAGTAGTAGTAGGAGCAGGAGCAGTAGTAGTAGGAGCAGGAGCAGTAACAGGAGCAGTAGTAGTAGTAGTAGTAGTAGTAGGAGGAGCAGTAGTAGGAGCAGTAGTAGTAGTAGGAGCAGGAGCAGTAGTAGTAGGAGCAGAAGCAGTAACAGGAGCAGTAGTAGTAGGAGCAGGAGCAGTAACAGGAGCAGTAGTAGTAGTAGTAGTAGCAGTAGTAGAAGCAGGAGCAGTAGTAGGAGCAGTAGTAGTAGCAGGAGCAGTAACAGGAGCAGTAGTAGTAGCAGTAGTAGTAGGAGCAAGAGCAGCAGTAGTAGTAGGAGCAGTAGTAGGAGCAGTAGTAGGAGCAGTAGTAGTAGTAGGAGCAGTAGAAGTAGTAGCAGTAACAGTAGTAGTATTCTGATGTACTGTGTGTGTTTCAGAGCCGACCAACATGTTGGATGTCAGAGCCATTCTGTGGTTGGAGAACTACCTGCAGGTCTGAACTGTCACTCACTTTGACGTTGGCATTCCTTATTGTAAACAATGACAACAGTTAGCCACGAGCTAACAAATACCAATGATACCTCCTTCCACAGACGTGGCAGTCGACCATCTTGGTCGTCTCTCATGACAGGAACTTCCTTAACGCCGTGGTAACGGACATCATCCACCTGCACTCCCAGAGGCTGGACAGTTACCGTGGCGACTATGAAAACTTTATTAAAACCAAAGAAGACAGACTGAAGAACCAGCAGAGAGAGTACGAAGCCCAGCTACAGTACAGACAACATATACAGGTACTACTACTGCAGTACAACGTATACAGGTACTACTGCTACAGTACAGACAACATATACAGGTATTACTACTGCGGTACAACATATACAGGTACTACTGCTGCAGTACAGACAACATATACAGGTACTACTGCTACATTACAGACAACATATACAGGTACTACTGCTGCAGTACAACATATACAGGTGCTACAGCTGCAGTACAGACAACATATACAGGTACTACTACTGCAGTACAACATATACAGGTACTACTGCTGCAGTACAACATATACAGGTGCTACAGCTGCAGTACAGACAACATATACAGGTACTACTGCTGCAGTACAGACAGCATATACAGGTGTTACAGCTACAGTACAAACAACATATACAGGTACTACTGCTGCAGTACAGACAACATATACAGGTACTACTGCTGCAGTACAGACTGCCTGTCTGTAGAACTGCGAGGCTTCCTCTGATTGGTGATCCTGTTATTGGTACACGTGAAATGAAAATAAAACAGTGACATCACTGTTCAGAGTTTTGGTGGGTGATTTTGTCCGAGTCCTACATACAGTGGATGAAGGTCACGTGATGTGGCTGTTTTCCCAGAATGCATCTTGTCACTGACACTGATGTATGATTGTGTTTCAGGTGTTTATTGACAGATTTCGGTACAACGCTAACAGAGCAGCTCAGGTCCAGAGCAAACTCAAACTGCTGGAGAGGCTGTGAGTATTAATACACCTTAGATACACCTTAGATACACCTTAGGTACCACCCTTAGGCACCACCCTTAGGTACCACCCTTAGGCGCCACCCTTAGGTACCACCCTTAGGCACCACCCTTAGGTACCACCCTTAGGCGCCACCCTTAGGCACCACCCTTAGGTACCATCCTTAGGTACCATCCTTAGGTAACACCCTTAGGTACCACCCTTAGGCACCACCCTTAGGCACCACCCTTAGGTAACACCCTTAGGCACCACCCACATGTAGCACTCAGGTGTTTCTGGTACAGTGACTCATCCTGTTGTCTCTTCCTGCAGACCTGAGCTGAAGCCCCTTGAAAAAGAAAGTGAGGTCACTTTAAGGTGAGGAGACAAACCGGTGGTGCCTGGTTCAGATGCAGGTGTTGATTGATTGATTGATTGATGGATGTGTTTTTTTTCCACAGGTTTCCAGATAACTTTGAGAAGTTGTCTCCTCCCATCCTGCAGTTAGATGAAGTCGAGTTTTATTACTCCGCAGACCAGCCTCTCTTTTCTGGACTCAACCTGTCCGCCGACCTTGAGTCTCGCATCTGTATCGTACGTGTCATCAGTAATCAGTCATCAGTAATCCAGAATCAGGGATGTATCGGTTGTGACGTGCTGTGTTTCCTATCAGGTTGGTGAAAATGGTGCCGGTAAAACGACCATCCTCAAACTGCTGATGGGCGAGTTAACGCCGGTCGGCGGGGTCAGACAAGCTCACAGGTGAGACACCCAGTGGACCAATCACAGCAGAGAACTTTCCTGAGTGTGTTTACCTGTTCATACAGACTGTTTAACTGTTTATGGGAAGTTTACAGACTGTTTATAGGGAACTATTAACAATTTGTTAAGGGAGTTGTTTTCTCTGTTTGTGGGTACTGTTCAGAAAACTTTTTACTATTTTCAGGAACTGTTAACTCTTTGTTTAAAGGTTGCATGTAGGGAACCATTTACTCTGTTAAGAGAGGGTAAGGGAACTGTTTGCAGGCTGTTTTTAGGGAACTCAGGGTTTTCTCTCCCTATCTAAGACAAAGGCGGCCCGCCTAAGTGATTTTGGCTGCTGCCTTGGTTTCAAGCGTGTGTTTGCATGGGGGGCGTTCAGATGTAGTGTCTTTTGCGCGCACAAACCCATTACTTTCAATGTAGATACACGTCATGCGCGCTCACAACCCAAAGCGACGCCGTAGCAGCGCACATTTGGTGCAATACGCTTGTTATTTCGTCTGGCGCTCAGCTCCATGGACCTGCTTTTCCCTCTGGTGTTGTGTCAGATCCCGGTTCCCCCTCGGGTTGTGTCTCTCCTACTGTTTCCCACAGAGCTCTTCCCCTTTTGAAAGGCGAAGAAAGCCCGTGTGTGGAAAGACGTCACCTCCGAAATGTAGAATGTGTATTATAGAAGAGAAACGCACATTTCAGGACCGCTGACTTGTATCATCAGAATGGACATTTCTTGTGATTTTCAGCTTCCTTTCATATTTAATAGAGGGGGGACAATACCTGACAGTAATATTCTCAGCTGTCAGGATGTGCCTGTTGTAAAGGGTAAATACACTGCCTGGCCAAAAAAAAAGTCGCCACCTGGATTTAACTAAGCAAATAGGTACGAGCCTCCTATTGGATAATTATTGCATGGGCGATTATCTTTCAGCTGGCAACAAGTTATTTAACCCCAACTGGTGCAATGAGTTGCTTCTCATTTCCTAAACAACCATGTCGAAAGACACATCCCGTGGTTGTGGAAAAGATGTTAGTCTGTTTGAGAAGGGTCAAATCATTGGCATGCATCAAGCAGAGAAAACATCTAAGGA